AAACAGTCACACCAAACGGCGATGAAATAATAATTATTGTAGAGGAGATTTAACACTAGTACATATTTGTACCTCGAACAGGGTTTAACACACAATAATAGAAATTATTTCATATAATCAAGAATAGAAAACTAGTGGTTTGTGGAATCGTGCCTTAAGGCAAACTGCTGACACATCCTTTACCCTAATTTACAATTTCTTTCAAAGTTTTAAAAAAATATGAAAATTTTGTCGAAGTGAACTTCAAGCATTATAGTAACAAAATTTGTGCTTAGTATTAAAATCTCTATAAAATATCTGATGATTTCATGTACATATGTCTAACGATGATTTTTGACCATCGAATGACATTTTTTTTGAATTTCGAAAGCCGCTGAACCTGCGTTCCCCAAAATTTTATCAGTTTTTCATTTCCCCAATACAAGTAAAATGTTTTTTAAATCATTCACTCAAAGTTAATTAAGAATGTTTCAACAACAATATTTGAAAGTAGAGGGAAAAGATTTATAACCAGTCATCACGTTGATTCTTACGACGTCGCTATCAGGGGATAAACGGCAATGTTAAAAAATCTATAACAAAATTATTTTCTTTCTTTGTTTGTGAGCACTGTTGTTTAGTTTACGACATAATAAAAAAATGTAAGTACACGTTATTTACATGTTTTATAAAATATATTGTTAATTTTAGATTAGATTCAACAGTTTCTTTACAAAACTTTCATAAGAGCTTGGCAAAGGCGTAAACCATAAAAAATAGTACGAAAAAATGTAAATTCAGTTACATAAATTAATTTCACAAGAAATAAATTGAATTAATAGTTATTCCAACTCTGTTCATAAATATTTCTCCAAAATACCAGATCAAGGTTATTTACAGTAGTGAAAAATATACCCATAAAATTTATATTTTGAATAATATAGTTATTATTTCGTAAAATTCCTTAGAAATTAAAAAAAAAAGTTGGACCTAGTTTACGGGATAACATAGACCAGGTTACAAATTTTTGAAAAATAGCAAAATAAAATATTTTTGCAATGATGAATTAGCTGGGAGTTGTACTGAACATAGTCAGATAAAATATTTGGCTTGGTTTTCACAATAAAATTGTTCAAAGTCAAATTGGATCTTTGCAGATCTTAATTTTCAGAAATTAATCAGCAAGATACCCAACTAATATTCTTTGAACAGCTTTTGAATTTTTCAAATTAGTCCAGGATTGTTGTCTGAATCATGAACGAAAACTTTTGCAATTTTTGGCCAATTATAAAGAAAGGACTCAACAGATTTTCTCGCAAAACTAATCAGCTCAAGTCCTTATCGAGTTACATGGAAAGGGTTTTGAATTTTTTAAATTAGTTCAGCAGTTTTTGAGAAAACATTGACGAAAAGGTTAAATTTTAACTTATACTGTGAAAACGAAACCAATTATATTACAACAAATAACACATATCAAACAAACAACTATCGGACAATGCTCAATAAAACTCTCAGCTCATTCAATCATTGTAGAAATTTTTTTTGCTATTTTTGAAAAATTTGAAACGCCTATTAAAAAAAGAACTCATTCAGGTATTATATTAGAAAAAAAAATAAAATAAAAATCGTGTGGTAGGAAAATCATTTTTCTCTTCAAAAAATCTGCTGACACGATACAATAAAATTATTTTCATCTGAACCAACTTTTCTAAAAACAAATCGTTTCGAATTAATCATTCGGTGAGTAAGATATCTCGCTCAATCTTATTTAAATTTTCAAAAAATTAATGCATTCAACAATAAAATTCTTATTACGTAAAAGCATGTTGTATCATTTATAACACAGTCGTGTAGGTATAATAATATCCATTATTCATTCCGAGGATGAAAACTTCTGACGGATGTACATTGTTCGATAGTACACTAGTTCAACGTCATTTGCATTTCAAGACATTTCGAATAAATATGTATAATAGACACATACTTGGATAGAAAGCTTTAAAAATTAATTGAAGTATATTGCTCTCGACTACAAAATCTCAATATTTCTGTCTCGGATTATTACCACGGATATATATTTCCGAATGCGCGCCGAAACAAAAATATTTTTATATTAGGCATATTAACTTCGAAAATGAATTACGGAGGTCAGCCGGACGCCGCTTTATAATTACAAAAGCGTTTCGCATAAAATTTTGAAAAAAATGAAGCAACAAGCAACGAAAACGAGAAATCAAAGGTATCATTCGTAAATCTTTTGGTTCTGGGAATGATAGCTTGTATGGTGCATAACGCGGATTTCTTTCAATAAAAAAGTGTTCGAGATGCGCTAAACGATATCGGGCAATTGTTCGAATAATAAGAACTTGCAGGTGAATTAATGGCTCGTAATCGTAAATTGTAAATATAAGGTTGTCAAATATCTCCCTTCCGCCTTTTTGTATTATAAACCAAGAGCAAAAAAGCGGAAGGGAGATATTTGACAACCTAATATATGTATGGTAGGACCAATCCAACTATATCACAACAAATAACACAAATCAGACAAACAACTATCTGACTATGTTCAGTAAACTCCCAGCTAATTCCGATGTAAAAGTTTGGAATGTAACGACTTTGAATTCGATATTTCATATTCCTTAGCATTTAAGGGGGTCTTCCTATGTGATGGGGTTGAAAAAATCGATTTTTTTTCATAAATTGCTCCCTCAACATGTCTCGAATACGGTAGTAAAGCGATTTTAGAAAATTCGAAGTCGTTTTAAAGATACAGCAGGTAAAAGAAGTTAATATTTTAATAGTTTTTAACGGACTTGAAACTTTAAACGCGTTTTTCTCAAAACTGTGTTTATCAAACTTTCCTTCATTGTATATCAGAAACGGCTGGACCGAATTACTTGAAATTTACAGGGCACACTCAATATATTTAAACGCATGGAATGAACTATCATCAATCTTCGATTTTTTATAGCAAAAAACAAAAAAACGCCTAATTTGCAACTTTTATTTCAAATGTCTATTAAAAATCCAATTTTTTTAATATTCATTTGATTATAGGTCATTCCGTGCTTTTAAGCCTACAAATTAAAATGCCATTTATTTTTTTTTTTCAGATAAACCGATCAGCCGGAATCGTGGAGGTAGTGGGAGCTCTTTTTTTTTAGGCGGGGGTGTTCAGAGCGCTGTAACTCTAGTTTGACTGAATATTTTTAGCTGAAATTTTATATTTATACTGTCCAAATATGTGTTAATAAATGATAAAAAAACTCTTGAGACTCTAAATATTTACTGGTCGTAGAAAAAAAATCCTAAAATATCCCTAAAAAACAGGCCGTCACATAGGAAGACCCCCTTAATAGAAACTTTTAACACTTTTTTGGTTTTTGTCAAATTACTCATAAATATCAAGGTAAAGCACCCCTTTTCGATTAGATGGGGAGAAACTAGATAAAATTTACTACGATTCCATGCCAACAGTTATATACACCCCGATATATAATTTTGGGACATTTTTTTGGTTTTTGTTAAACAACTCACAATAATGTTTATTAAATTATTAGTAAGAAAAATGTACTTCAGAAATTTCCAAAAAGCAACTACTATATCGTACAAAAATATGAAAATTATAGACTAAATAATTGAAGCAATTATGCTGTGTGGTGAAATAAAGAGTGATATTGTTCTTTTACTGCAGATACTATTTGATTGTTCTCTAAATTTCTGATATTGCTTATGCCAAGACCATAAATGAATCACAAAGGCATCAAATAGAATATTAAAAGTATAGGATACGATATTTAAAAAATTGGAACTTTTGAATTGTAGACGTGGATACAGGACAACTTCTGTCGGGTCATCTAGTATATGTATATATTTAGTTACATATGACTTTAACGGCGGCATTATTGAATTGAAAACAGGAAGAAGCAGTTTTTATTGTCTTATGCATGTGCAACATGCATGGAATACAAATCGAAAAGTTTTATTATGGTGAAGTAATACAAAACGTACAAATCGTTCCATTGAATCCGAATTGTACTCATACCATTTTCGGTGAATTTTTCAATCGTTGATAAAAAAATTGGTGTTGAAATTGAAAGAAATATGCCACAAGAATAATTTATAAATTATAATACAAACTAGTGGGGTGGGTGGCATCGTGCCTTAAGGCAAATTGCTAGAACTTCCCGTATCGTAACGAAATGTTCGAGGAATATTGAATGTTTTCAAATAGATTATTATAAATATTGTAACATTGTCTAATATTTATAAGAATTATATAAACTGAATTGCAGAGTTGAAATTATTTGTTTAAAGTATATTAGAACTATAGTCAGAATTAAAAATAAAATCTGAATTATTTTCGATATACAAAAAATTAAAAAAAAAAAAAAATGAGATTTTTTTTTCAAAATCAATTATTTTGTAATGACAAGCAGAAAGTTCTTTGAACCAATTGAATCGTACGCTTAGTTCTCTCAAAAACTACCATTGTTTGTACATTTATCTCCGTATCTCCGAAATTGCTGAGCCTGCCTTTGCGAAAAACTAATAACCCCTTTTTCCAATCATTACTAATTGAATGTTTTTTAGATCATTCAAATCGGATGCTCCGTTCTCTCAAAAACTCGATTTCTATTTTCTGCACTTTTTGCTCCTTATCTCCGTAACTGCTGGACCTGCCTTTGTCAAAAACTAATCAGCACATCTCCTTATCAATAGGAATCGAATATTTTTTAAACCATTCAAATCGGTTGATCCGTACGCCCGAAAACGTGGGCGAAAATTTGTATCCATACATACATACACACACACACACACACATCCATTTTTTCTGAGGTATGCCAAAATGTTCAGAAACCTTCAAAACGTCGAGAAATGTAAAAATTTTCAATTCCGATTTTCGGCCCATTACAATAACTTACCCTACGGGAAGTTAAAAAAACACAGACCATTATCAACTTCTGTAAGTGATATTATTATAAAAGTATACAAAATTTATAAATAAATTTTTCATTCCATTACACGTTAATTTGTTCAGCATTATTCGGCTCAACAGTAACACGTCCGTAAGGAGATCCAGCTCCTGGTGTTCCTGGTGACTTCTGCAGAAACACTCGTCTCGATATTTTTGCACCTTGGCAAATTAGGTATATAGCAATTACAGACATCAGTAAGGATCCAAAAGACACCAGAACTGCTACAATAGTCTCAGTACTGCCATAAGGTCCTTCTGGTGCACAAAGGAGATCACCAGAATCCAATTCTGATAAAGGATATCCACTAACTGCAGATGGTGAGGCACATTGAAGAGTTTCTTTGACGAGAGGAATCAGCCAGGACGCAGAACAATTACAGTACCAAGGGGCTCCTGATAAATCAAACCTGGTAATAAAAAAAATATAACTTTAATATGAAGAATCATAAGATTATGACATTTATACCCACGTTGTTAAGTTTTGAAACACCGGTTTCAATTTACTGTCCAAAGAACTTAAGTATGTTCCAGACATAGTGAGGGTTTCTAATTTTGAGTTCAGCACGTCTCGGCCAAATGCTAATTCACTAAATTTTTGCAGTTTTCGACATCCATCCAACTTAAATTCTTTTAATTCAGGAAATCCACTTAAAGCATATTGTTGTATTTCAGTCAAATTCAAAGAATCCTGGATGATTAGTGATTGCAGTTGTTGCAATGTGGGGAATGTATCTTGTTTAATTTTTCTCACTCCTAATTAAATTAGTAGATAGTTAATGGTTATGTTTACATATAGATCGGGGCTTTAAGGTCTAGCATCATTATTCAAAAACTAGTATGTAAAAATACTATTTTAAAGTAGAGGGCAAAATATGTGTCATCACCATGAAACGGTCGACGTAGCTGTCATGAGAGAAATGGCCTCATAGTAAATTTTTTTAACAAAAGTAATTTTTCGTTGTCATTTTTTTTGTTTGCGCAGTGTTATTTAGTTTAAAATACATGGATATAATTTTTAAGAATATGTCATTTAATTATTTTATAATGTATATTTTTATCAACTTACCATCTTTGAAAAATAATCAAAATTTCAAAAGTTTCAAAAAATTTTGCCATACGGCCTCATAGTAATTTTTTCAACAAAGGTATTTTTTTATTATCAGTTTTTTTTGAGCAGTATTTTAAAGTAAAATATCTGAAAATTTTGGCATACTTTAGAAATGTGTGTGTATGCATAGAATCGTAGTAAATTTTATCTAGTTTCTCCCTATCTAACTGAAAAGGGGTGCTTTCATATGATATTTGTGAGTTATTTGACAAAATTCAAAAAAAAAAAATGTCCCGAAATTTCTATTAAATCCTAAAGAATATGAAAGATTGAATTCAAAGTCGTTTTATTCCAAACTTTTATATCGGAGTGTACATAACTATTAGCATGGAATCGAAGTAAATTTTATCTAGTTTCTCTCTATCTGACTGAAAAGGGGTGCTTTAATATGATGTTTGTTAGTAATTTGACAAAAACCAAAAAAATGTCCCCAAAATTTCTATTTATTTCCAAAGAATAACGAAAGATCGAATTCAAAGGTGTTTTATTCCAAACTTTTATATCGGAGTGTATATAATTGTTGGCATGAAATTGTAGTAAACTTTATCTAGTTATTAAGTTAGATTTAACAGTTTTTGTTGAGATAATCTCTAGAATGACTGACTTGTGAAAATTTCTATCTGGACCTTTATGCCCCGTTGTACCTTAAATACAATTTCATCTTACCCGTTCTGGAAATATCAATATACCGCAAAAATCTCGGCAAACTTGGCATAACTTCCATTGAATTACCACGCATGGTAAGATTTTGCAGATTTCTTGCTCCTTGTATACTAAAACTATTTGTTTTTTCGTTTATTTTTAATCCAATACCATCCAAATTTAGTGACAACAATTTTGGAGCTTCTCCATATACCATAGGATGCAAAAAATGACCATCGGACTGCGAAAAATTTATTATTTAGATCAAAAATAAAATTATTTAATGTATTTTGCAACCAACCTCATAATATGCGCCTAGTGGGTTATAAGAAATATCCAAGTTTTCAACAAATTGAATTTTTTCGTTAAATCGGTGAGGCAGCAATGTCAACTCATTTTGGGACATTGATAATATTTGTAAGTTTAAACAATTGTGAAAACTACCAATGTATATCCTGCTAATCCGGTTCCTGCTTATGTCCAGGTGTTTCAAACCTGATAATAAGGCAAAAGATCCTTCTGGTATTGTATCTATATTATTTGCTGAAAGATCAAGGTAGCCCAAAGAAGAACTATTTAACAAAGTTCTATCTGGAATATTTTTTAATTTCATATAAGACATAATAGCTCTTGATGCTCTTAATGGTAGCACTAAAGTGTTATTAAAATTTATATTTTCATAACCACTGCACATAACTAAAACTGGTGAAACTTGCCAAGGTGTCTGAATTAGATCTAAGGAACATTCACATTTTAAACAGATTGAGGAATAACACTTTACACTATATAAAATTAAACTACAAATATAAAAATATATAATTAATTTACTCATATTTAATAAGTCATAATACAAGATGATTCAAAGCACCAATTTGTTATCACCGAAACATTATCTACAAAATAAAAAAATTAAAGAAAGTTTTATTTAAATATATCATCTCTTAAATTATGAAGTATTATTAAAATGCACATATATGTTTTTCTATTAATATGGTAAAAGGTAATCAATTCTTATCACCAAACGGTTATCATGAAGATAACACGGGCTTGCCCATATCAAATTTTTATCAATATTAGTTGTAAATCTGCGAATCGATTGCAACAAGAGCCGGAGCGCTTCGTGACCTTGTAATAAGAGCTTCAGTCTTGCAACTGCAGGTTCACATTTTATTCCTGTTCCGGACTGCTTGATATCAGTTTTGAAGATTGATTTATAAAAGTTTTATCTTAGATTTTATGTTAGATATGGCACTAAACTTATCGGAAATAAATTTTATCTAGTTTCACTCTATCTAACCAAAAAAAGGGTGCCCTCATATGATATTTGTGAGTTATTTGACAAAAACCAAAAAATGTCCCGAATTTTCTATTAAATCCTAAAGAATATGAAAGATCGAATTCAAAGTCGTTTTATTATAATCTTTTATATCGAGGTGTATATAACTGTTGGCATGGAATTATTGATAATTTTATCTAGTTTCTCCCTATTTAAACTGTTTTATGTTAGATGTGGTACTAACTTATTACCGACTAATTTTAATAAGGGGTCTGTTTAATTAAGATATCGCATAATAATTCTCGGAAAGTATATAAACAATATTTTTAATTATAGTTTTAGATTAATTATGTTAATTATTAACCATGGATAGGATTTCAAACGCATTTTTTGAAGTGTGAAGGACTATTTCCGTTTATCAGGCGAACTATAACAAAGTTCGTTTAGTTTTTTTTTTTGTTTAACGGATTTTTTGAAAGTTTAACGACCGTTTAGTCGTATGTCCGAACTATAACGAAGTTTGCTGCTTTCGAACTGTCAAAATGTCAACTATTACTTGACATGGCAACACTTAACGTCAAGTGCACGTGTTTTTGTTGTTAAAGTTGAATTTCAAAGTTAAAAATAAATTTTATGTGTGACTACTTATGCGTTATTATCACAAACGTTGTTTCTATCTAGCTTTAATTTTTTATCATTTATTATTCCAGTTCGAATAGTTGTGATTCATTTGAAATGGCTTTAGCAATAGGTATGTCTTACTGTGGTTTTATAGGTTATGTTATCTTTCTGTCTTTTAAAACTACAATTTTTTATAAAACAAATTATGAATTACCATATATTTCCTATTACTTTTACCTCTTTTTTTCATTTAGAATTAAAACGTCGCCTGGACGATAATGATTCACCATTATGCAAAAGAATTCGGATGGCTGAGGATATATTTAAATCAAACAATTTCCCATTAACATCTCACAGAAATATTACATTAAATTGGCTCTGCAATTTGGCCGATAATAGTACAGATGATTTTTCGTGGATAGAATCTATTAAAAAGTGTTTTGGTACACCATTTGCTTACGCTGATTTAGATAACTCGCTCATAGAAAATTTAATCAAGGTATACATATTGAAATTTGTTTTACTGTAATGGTTTTATTTAATAATTGTTGTTTTGTAGATACTTTTAAATAAATTAGAATCACAGTCTTTGGAAATAGTTGATGGCTTGATTAGCGTAATTGATAATACTTCAGTACAAAAATATTTTGTATCAAATTTACCATTGTGGAACAAGGTTATTGTAAAGTTAATAAAAACTAGTGAAGCTTGCACAAATACAAATAATCAAAGAAGTGAAATCTTATTGTATGTAAATAAGATTATTGCATATTTAATCAATCTTCATAAAATTGCTTTGGATCAAGATATTTATTATGAAAATGTTTTAAAAGGAGCTCTTGTGAATTTAATTTCGCTTCTTGATAAAATAGAGGATGAGGATTTGAACAACAAATGTGTAGAATTAATTCAAAATTGTGTTTTTACTAAAGATAGTACAAAATTTATTGAACACTTCATGGATGTATTTGATCATTTGGAGGCAAAAGGGTGCTCAGAACTTGCCTTCAAAATTTTATGTATTGCTTATATTAAAGCTTACAAAGAAAGCTCGAATATTATTAAATTGTTCAAAAGAATTATTGATTGCAACAAGACCAACAAATTTTATCCATGCATACTCATGGATATTTTTAAAATTGAGGATGTTTCTCTAGAAATTGAAGATAATGGTGAAACGTTAATGTCATATCTTCAAAAATATTCAATGGACATTTTATCTAGTTCTGTTAATTCTGATAAATTCATGTTTTCGTTTTTGAATTCAGCAATATTATTAAATCCATTAATCATTGAACCACAACTGAAAGAGTTCTTAATCAAGTCTATGTTGATGAAGAAAGAAAGTACCGAAGGTCTACTTGAATTTTCTACATTTCTCAAGCATGTTGTTCAAACTTTATCAAAATTGAATAGAATTCATAAATTACCCTTGTTATTGCTTAATGATCTTGATGCAGTGATACAAGTAGAATGTGCTTCCAATGAGAATGTCAAATCGGATTATCATATTGAACAAATTTGGCCTCTTGAGGTCGCAGAGCACTGGGGTAATTCAATGGAAGGTCTAAATGCCAGCATTACATGGAACACACTACAAAGTCTTCTGTATACTCTTGATAATAAGGGAATACTAAATAAAAAAGATGATACGAATGGTAATATGAAATGCATTAAAAATATATTCTAAGTTTATGTATTTTTGTTTATGAATGTTTGAATATTTTAGTTTTTGGTGCCTCTGTAATGACACAAGTAATCTTGCGTTTCATTACCAGTTTTTTAAAGAACTGTAAATTGCCATTGATGTCTAAAGAAAATTATACAAAATTGTGGGATCATAGTAAAAAATCTTTTGAAATTCTAGCTAAAGTTGCTCTTATCATTGTTAAAGAAAAGGTTGGTGAAAACTCTTAATTTTAATTAAATTATTTCATAAATAATAGTTTCACCTTGATTATAGTTACATGGCTTGTTGGTGCATTGGCTCGAAACAGCATACATAGTTGGTGAATTTATAATAATGCTAAAATATTATTGGAATTGCATGGACACCCAATTGCAACTACAACTGATCGAACAATATTTCAATGAAAAACATTGGAACAAATTATGTAAATTAGTTAAAGAAAGTGATTGCACAAAATCAAAAGACTACTTGGTATGGAACTTGGTTTTATATTTGGATTTGATTGGAATTTAATTTTTTTTTTTTTTCAGAATAACATACATCTTCAAAAGTTACGATATAAAATGATGATACGCAGTTTAAATAACAAGCATGACCTAAAGGAAGAACTAAAAGTAGTCTATAACAATTGGGAAAATATTTTAAATTCAAAACTTATATTCAAATCCTTACTACCCTTAATGACACAGGCTCAAGTTATAGAATTAGTTAATAATTCTATCAATGATATAGTTAAACCAAATAATCTGCACATATTACAATCAGATTATATACAGGAAAACAATAATTTCATTTCAGTAACTTTATACAGCATATTTCATGAAATTGCTAAATTATTATTGAAATCAGTGAAAATAGTTGAAGAATTTAATATTTCAGAGATATTAGATGATAAACAAAAGTTTTTGATTTCGATTGGTGAAACTTTAGAAAAAGATTTTGTTGTGGAGTCTCCAATTGCTGATGTAGCAGCTCTTGAAATTTATTTAAAAGCACTTGTAGCATTGAACTTGCAATTTTTAGACAATACAACGAAATGCAGTATATATTTTTTTATAATTTCTGTTTTTGCGTATTTGAATGAAGTTAATAAATTAGTAAATGATGATAGTAATTATCAAGCACATGTTGAAGAGTGTCGGAGCACTTGTGGAGTAATATTAGCAAGTGAGTTAATTCAGTCACATAACATAACTTTATTTTTTTTTTTTTTCATTTTAATTTATTTATTTGATATAATTCACACCAACCAGACAATACACATAAATGTACTTTTTCAAATCTTTTTTTCACTATTTTTTGTTTATTTACTTAACTGATATATTTAATATCTCAGTCTGACTATATTTACACATTATTTTTTGTTCATTAAAAAATATTAAAATCTGCGTATTATACACATTTTTATTTTTTTTACAAATTTTACTTACGTCACATGCGTCGACCGCGCGGAGTGCAAAGGGTTAAATATCAAGTTAAAACCATGGACTATTATTCAAGTTTTTTTTTATTTATTATTATTACTGTATTATTTTATATAATTCATGAGAGATTTATAACAAAAATAAATTCTAATTTTATCTCCAACTTACATTGTAATTTACTTATCAATTTATATGCAATTTTAGATGTTTTAGAAAGTGGAACAAGTTTCAATGTTGATGATTACATATCTTCTACCGTTTATTTAAAGATATCTTCCTGGATATCAAAAACAGAACTTATCCAACCAATCATAGAAATGTCGATGAAAGAAAATGCTAATATAATTCCTAAGCTTAATAAAGTTGTGAAGAAAATTCACAAAAATTATCAAAGTTTACCTGAAGACAGCATTCCAAGTAAATTACATGAATTACTTATTGTTCCTACTATTTGTCTCACTCTTTCAACCAAGGTAACAAAAATAATAAATTATTTTTGTTTGTATTTGTTAATTGTTTTATATTTTTGCAGATGAAAAAGTTGCATAAAGAACAACGTGCTTTGGTTACAAAATTGAGAAACAAATGTGTCGATATTATCCACAATATAATTACAAAATATTCTAGCAATGCACCTCTTGAAATTCTATTACCAAGTTATAATCAATTATTACAATTGTGGATTAACAATATCGAAGCTAAAGATAACATTAAAGATATTGTAACAGTTTTACCTATTTATTTAAAATACTCTGTAAGTAACATAATAGTTTCCATTAATGGTTTATCACAAGTGTTATTATTATTATCATTAATTTTAGATGGACACTATACAAATAAAAAGTAAGGGTGATGCACACTCCTTTATTATGCTTGTTACAAGAAATCAAAAACATTTTATGGACGATTTGCCTGAAAATTTTGTTATGGATTTATGGGACGTATATTACAAAATTAATTGTAATATTCAGAATATTTCTTCTACCGAAACTGTTCTTGCTTTGTTAGAAAGTTGTGATGATAAACAATTTGAAGAAATTATTTTAAAATTAAATGACAATACTGTGAGTTGTGTTATCAGACAGATTTTGAATAATTTATCAAAATGAATTTTGAAATTTATTATTTTAATAAAAAAAACTTGTAGATAAAATCTATGGAGTGCGAAAAAGACTTCCCAAACAGTATAAACCTGTGGGTAAATATTACAGAAGCAATGTTAAGTGGAAACAAGACTAAATTACGACTTGAAATATTAACAAAATTATGTCAAGATCTTTTGGCATTGATTACAAAAGGCCATTACACAAATGGAACAAATACTCTAGTTATAATGAAATTCTTCTTAACAATTACAAAAAATCCTTTGGTAATTGTTTTATACAATTTGTTATGAAAATAATTTAATTCCAAATAATTTTAATTATTTAATTTCAGCTTCAAATTAACGTATTAGTGATTGAATCAATTTTAAGTGCTGTTTTCCTAACACCTTTTGATGATTTATCAACATTCGGAGTGGATCTGTTTAAAACTTGTTCTGAAATTGTGAACTTTACTTTGCTTAAAAGAACAGCATTGATATTAGACAGACTCCCTGTGGTAATATATGGAATACGTTATTTAATTAAAATCTTGGCACGGTGGTCTGCTTCAAAAGAATCCGATAGTGTGGAAAAAGATAGTTTCCAAAGTGTACTAGCAGATCTTGGGCACTCTATAGAAAAGTATGTACATATTCATATATTATAATAATCTTTATTTAAGTGTATTGTATGTTTTTATTTTGTTATTTTTAGGGTTTTTACTTCGCTCATAAAGTTAAAACGCAATTTATCAAGGCCTGCTTACTTGATGCACGATGTAATAGTTGAACTTTCTTCTTACACTTTAAAAAATGAAATTAAGCAATCCTTACTGAATTGCTGTTATCAAATACATAGCCTATGCGACTCTCATGCACTCAAATATTTGAATACTGTATCTAGTGTTGCTAATAGAGAAATATTCAAAAATATTCATGAAACCTATAATAAATTTCATATGTTCAAAGGTAAAATATAACTTTTATGTATAATAAAGATTATATGAAAATTGAATTGAATTTTATTATATTATTTTACAAAACTGAAACTCCAGGTATTAGATTCAAAATTTTCATCGATTTATTCATGTAACAATGATAATTTGACCTTATTAACAATATCAATATGCAATTCAATCTAAATTTAAACAAATTAGGTCTCCTTATTAATACATTATTTCAGTCGTTAACAATCTCATAGTAAGCAACTAGCATATTTGAAAATATATATGCTACTTGCTATAGCTGCTGTATGATCTTTTTTTTTAAACATCACAAATTATGTAATTGAATTAATGTTTTATATTAAGTACAATAGAGACTATTACATTATTGTGTTTCATACTTTAAAAAAAGGGTACTTGAAACAATATAGTTTTAAAAGAAACAAAGTTCTTATGTAGTTCCACAGTCTTGTTGATTTAATAATAAAATAAAGAAAATCCTGTATTAATATTGTGCATATCAAATTGAAATTAGGTTATACATAGGCATCTACAAAAATATAATACTGTAATAATTTGCTTATCAACACAATTTCCAAATAATAATGAAAAATACATCAAAAATTAAAATAAAAAACTAAACTTTTTAAATCTCATGCTATACTATATATTGATCAATGAAAGAATTATCAAACAAATATATAAACTAGTTAATTAAATAAATGCACTTTAAGTATGTTTGTCATGATTTTATATTCTAGTTCATGAGTGCAGCTATTTAGATTACTATATACAAAAACAAGATAATGTAAGCTGCATGTGTTCCATGTTCGTTTATGATTATAATTTCTATATAATTTACATTAGTCTTAATGCTTTCTAAAATTTAGGGAAGAACTTTTAAAAAATGATGAACAATATCTAAAGGATTTAATTCCTTTCCAATATTGCAATCCTAAACATTTCCAAACTCAACAACTGGCCTGGTAAATTAATCCTAAGATTTAATGTTAAATGTTATTTAAGCCACATATTTAACATTACATTATCACAATATTCCAATAATATAAACATTATCATTTACTGAATATTCTATCAAAGTCAAATTATGAAATAAAAGTGAGTAAGTAAATAAAATAAAATAAGAACCTATTTAAGGTTTGTGATTCCTTCTAGGACTAGAAGTTTTATCATCAGCTGCATGATTCGATTTTTCCATTAAAAACATAGCTTCTTCGTAGCTAGGAGGTGGCGCTTCACTGCTTGTGCCTTGTGGTGCTAGAGGAGTCACCAGCGCTTCGTAAGAAGGTGGTAATGTGGCTGTAGATGCACTTCGAGCAGCCAATCCTCCGGAATAGGCTTGCTCTGCTTGTGCTGCTGCCAAATCCTGATAGAAAAAATATAATTATATGTAGTATGATAAGTATGCCATTATGGAAAATAGATCTCGAAATACAAAGATACTTTCTAACGGTAAAAGTCTTTTCAAATAATGAATCTGAAATTGCAATATTGTATATTATGTAGTATTTACCCGAAATATAGCCCTCTGATGTAAAAGCATTTGTATTACACTCTTTCTTCTTAAGTAGAGCATACTTTTAACGGCAACCATCAATCCAGAACACATAAATATAGGTCCTACTAACCACATATGTCCCAAGTTACTAAATATGTAACCATCTGCATCACCTAAAGCTAAAACTGTAATTACACTTCCCACTGAAAAAAGCACCATGGATAAAGCGAAATATGAATAACTAGTGCAATCACAACGACCAAATCTTTGGTCTTCATCATAGTCTAAATCTCGTTGTCTTAAGCGATGCAGTCTTTGGGTTAAAAATGGGCTATTAAAAACAGTTGCCATGATAATTGATTTAGTCCCGACAATAATTCAAGTTCCAAATGTTTATATTAGCTTTTGAAACACTCAGCTATAGCCCATAGCATAATAGTTAGCCACATCACTTGAGAACAATTACTTCGAAATCTGGAATTTTATTTGTAATATCATAATTACAGCCGACGTAAAGTCGTGGGTACCGAAAAGTTATTAGGTATTGCATTTGGCTTTTAAGCCTTGATAAATATAAACGTAAACATTAGCATTTGTTCTTTTAACTTTTGTATTTTTGTCGTGCAATGAAAGATGCACTTCAACGCCACAATCTGTCAACAGTCTAACTAACTATTATTAATGCCATCCTGTGATTGGTCGGAATTGGAGTGTAATTTGTGAACGACCAATCACGTTCTATTCTGTACGTACTAATTCAGACTGTGCAGCAATATGGCTGTCAGTATATAACTGATCGCCTTATGATGAGCTTCCTTTCCTTGAATTGTCGAATTTATTTTTCAAAACTCCAAAAATGTTATGTTATTTGCGCTGATTTGTTGAATAATCATGATGACTCGTTGGCACTGAGATAACGTAAGACAGATTTTTTCAAAATTGCACAGATTAAATCTGATCTTGTATAATATGTCACTAGAAAATGATTCCATAGGCTATGATAGACTATATAGTTTTTTATACTACTGATTATGCATTTAGGTAATTCCGGCGAATATTAAATTTTTACAAACAATTCCAGGATATACTTCTACGATTAGGACATTGATATATACTGATTACAACAATGAGTTCTAGGTATGTATACTTGATCTCATTTTACTAAATAAACTATCAAATAGGGGTCTAGGTAGTAAGCCCTTTTCATTTAGGGGTAATTTGTTCACAGTTTTAATTAATCTTTTTCATATTTAAATATGTATATTGTTGTTTATTGGTCACTGATCACTGGTAGTTTGTATTTCACGTAGTCAGGCATATTAGATTTATTTGAGTAAATAATCTCTCTAAATATACACTTTCCTAAAATCAAAATATTTGTTCAACTAGGTAATATCATAGAAATCACTGGAAATGAACTTCACATTAAGACAATATTCAAATAAACATTATTTTAATCTGTATTTACTTAAATTTTAGACTGGATAGATTATTTATCCTCTTAGAGAGTGGGACATCCCAAGTTACACGAAGATTAGCAGCTAAACAATTAGGAGAAGTTCAATCATTGCATCCGCATGAGTTGCATAATCTCTTAAAAAGAACTTTAGTGTTGCTTCGTAACTCTAATTGGGATACAAGAATAGCTGCCGCCCAAGCCATTGAAGCCATTTTAAATAGTTTGCCTAGGTGGGATCCTCCAGGACAAGTGATTAAGATCGAAGGTTTGGAAAGCTAAAATTGATTGCACAATGTAAACAATAATTTTAAGATCGAGTATTGCTTTTCTAAATTCATTACTAAGCAAGGCATGTCTTATTTGTTTCTAAATACTGTCTTAAGTTTTCAAGAGTTGTATTCTTTTATAACAGAAAAGGATGTTTCTGCTTCAAATAGACTGAGATTGGACACATTCAATTTAGAAAAAATATTGTGCGCTGCTCCATTGAGTGGATCTGAAGGAAAAGAATTTGACTGTGATGATGATAATAGTAGAGGTAATACTGGAAAAATTTAGAATGATAATTTCACATGTATATATATTTATATATCATCTCTACATTGACAGATATTAATGAAACTATAGCACATCAACGCCATCAGCTAAATTTACGTTTAGGATTTGGAGATAACTCTATATTATCTTCGATTAGTAATTTAGGAAATTTAGTGACAAATGATGATTTAAAGCCATCAAGTTTACCTAGCAATACTACACAGGATAGGGTAAGAAATATTATTGTAAACTTAAATATTACAATTTTGTTGACACACTATATTTTCAGAAACCTATTGATGAATTGGTTAGCTCAGTTCTTAGTTCTAGGGAAATTAATAAGGCTCGGAGAAAAGCAAGGCAATCTGCATTTTCAAGATCTATCAGCAGTAATGGTTCTAAACACTCGCTTGAAGATGATGATGAACCTGAGAAGAAGAAAGTTAAATTAGAATTGGATGAAAATTCATGTAAAGATACCCTCAAAGTTGTTAAATATTTATACTAAATTACATTTTTAGTTAATTAGTAAATGCTTTTGTTAAAATAAATTTCTTTTCAATAGGTGAGGGTTATGGAACTCCTGATGGAAGTGGGAATTGGAGCGAAACCGTTGAATGGCCATTGGAAGGATTATGTGAACGTTTATGGCTTGAATTATTTAGTCCAAGGTGGGAGGCTCGACATGGGGCAGCAACAGGCATTAGGGAAGTTCTTAAAGCTGCAGGAGAAGGTGCAGGAAAAAATGCTGATACAACTAAAGAACAAGTAAATTTCTATAATTCATTGTAATAGATACCTAATTTCAATCAAATTAATATATGCATAATGTTAAATGTGGTTTTAGATGGAAGAGCAGCATAATATATGGTTGGAAGATGCAGCTGTTAGATTATTATGGATTTTGGCATTGGATAGGTTTGGTGATTTTGTTTCTGATCAAGTGGTGGCTCCAGTGCGTGAAACATGTGCACAGGCTTTAGGTCTTATTGTTAAAGAGATGAAACCTCCAGATGTGCATAGAGTTTTAAATTTTCTAATCCAAATGTTGAGCAGGAAAGAATGGGAAACTAGGCATGGTGGTTTACTAGGAATTAAATATATGCTTGCTGCAAGACAGGTATAACATTAGTGGTGATAACTCAAACGCCAACATGCGAAATGATCATACGTATTTAACTTTTTATTGTAGGATTTGGTGTCAGAAATATTACCTATCGTCTTTCCACATATCCAACTTGGTGTTGGTGATAGCATGGACGATGTTGGTGCTGTAGCTGCCTCTTGTCTTATTCCAGTAGCTGATAAATTAATGATGTATGAAGCCCTTTCAATTTAATATTGTTTCTTAATATAATTATGAATATTCTGATTTATTTGTTTAGGGTTCATACTGAGCTCTCTCCGCTTGTAACAAAACTTTGGGACTTACTTCTTGATCAGAGATGAGCTGGCTTCAGCATGTAATTCGTTTATGGGATTACTAGCTGCTATTTTAAGTTTACCTGATGCTGCAGATTTATTAAAGTAAATTATATTTGCTAACAAATAAGAATCTTATTTTGAAATATTTTCATTGTGTATTTGTTTCTTTTGTAGAACTCAGCCATTAACAGAAGTTGTTCCTCGATTATGGCCATTTTTAGCTCATAATTCAAGTTCTGTGCGATGTGCAACATTGCAGACTCTATTCACTTTATCACACAAATCTGTAAACTTTATATGGCCATCATGTTTACTTCAAGAAGCCTTGAGGCATATATTTCAAAGAGTGTTAATTGAACATATACCTGAAATCCAAGATCTTGTTAAGAAGGTTATAATTATATTTATATAAAAAATTATTGATATATTACACAAAATATATTTTGTAGGTTTGGTGCAATCTTGTTGCAAATTCATCTCTCGATGCACTTCTGCATGCAGCTTGTCCATTTTTTGCATCTTGGCTATGTATGGTAATGCATCCTGCAAGGGTTCCTTTTGATCCGTCAACGCTAATACATGCTGCATCACTGAAGGTATTAATTTTCAAATAATAATATTATAGAGAAAATCCTATAACAATTTCTTATTGTTTCATTTAGAAGAGCAAGTTGGGTGGTTCTGAAAGTAATTGTTATATTGAAACTCAAAAGTATTTTGTTGGAGGAAGGGAATCAACACCACAAAATATTAGAGAACAAAATGTTATAAGAGCCAGATGTGTGGCATCGGAAATGCTGGGTCAGTAATGATAAATAACCTGTAGAATATCTTTATTCTTTATCATTGTTTTTTTTCTATGTAATGAGTATTATTTTAGGTCAGTTATCTCAGTACTTGGTGAAACCGTCTCCCGGAGTAGAATATCCTCCTGACACCAATTATCCTCTGGACACATTTATACGTGTCATGTTGCCATATTTGCAATCACATTCTGCTTTGCAGAAATTAGTAGCAAGTTTAGTGTTAGCAGATTGGTCTATTCGAGATAACTCAAGCCGACCATGTCATATAGTATTGGCAGAAACTTTACAGGCTGCAATGAATCAAACAGTTTATTATGATGAGATAGCTGTTACATGCACCAGGTGAATAATTATAATAGTTTATATTTTCAAACCTCGTTAGCTAAACTCAACACAATCAATATGTAATATGATTAATAATTTTGCAGGCTACTTCAAGAGACTAGGGATTTCATTGCCATGCTAAAGCATTACAAAATAGATCTTGGAATTGATAACCGTGACGTAATACCATTAGAAACAATTGCTCAATTTAGCGGTCCCTCTACCCAACAATTGTTAGTCAAATGTAAACTCAAACAAAAAGTATTCGAATCTTTAGAAGAGAGAAGGAAAAATATTTATGCCTCGGTTACACAGACAACATCAGATCAATTGATGTTAAATGTTTCGTAAGTAGTACGAGATTTTAAACTTGTAAAAATGTACTACTTCCTTAATTTGGGATTTATGTATTTTATAAAAATACATTTTTATTCTAGGACAATGGCTGCAATTGCAGGTGCTGCTACTCAGCTTCATTGTTTACCGGTTAAACTTAATCCTTTAATAAAACCTTTAATGGAATCATTAAAAAGGGAAACTTTAGAACCGCTACAACAGTTATCAGCTGAGCATTTAGCTATGTTAACTTCTTTATGTCTGGAAAGAAATCCATGTCCAAATCCAAAAATTATCATGAATCTTTGTTCTTTTGTTAAAGCTGATACCGAATTTACTCCTAAAATTGGGGTATGTATATATGATTATAAAATTATAATTTGAGTTAGTTTAATATCTTTATTTATATTTAAGATGGAAAATGAAGTAAACAATACTAGTCAAGCTCATGAAATGAGTGAAGAAAAAATTATAATGTCGTTGGGCAAGTCAGCATATGATGGTATACTAACTTTAACAAATCAGCAGCGAGCTATAGAAAAAGCAGCATTCAAAAAAAGTAATGGCGGAACCGGAAGAGGCCCAGGAAGGCCACCGAGTTCTGATATTCCAATCGAAGAATTAATTCCAATTGAGGATGAGGTAAATACGTGATAAAATAGTTATTATAGTTAATTTATCTATACAGTAATTTTTATTTCTAGGTAACTTTACAAAATCGAATACAGCACAGAGGTGGAGCCTTAGCACTCAAAGCAATAACTAGACATTTTGGAGAAAATCTTCCAATAAACATGCCAAAATTATGGGAAACTATACATGATAATTTTCAACAGACATTTGATCTTGAATTGTTTGATAAATCTGATTTTGCAAACAATAAAGTTAACGCAGAAGCTTTGATTTCTAGTCTGCAAATTTTAGAAATAGTTTGTAGTTCCTTGCATCCTTCACTACTTCCAAAACTCTTTAACAATGTTTTACCAAAATTTTGTATTCTACTCTCGCACCCATTCAAAGCTGTTCGACATATGGCTGCCAGGGCAATGGCAGCTTTGGCTGATTTAGAAGTTTTGCCTGTAATGGAAGCTGTTGTTGAAAAAGTCAGTATATAAATAAATAGTATTTATACATTTAGTGTTATTATTGTATTAAAACAATATTCAGGTTATTCCAATGCTGAGTGCCATCGAAAGCAATGTGAAGCGGCAGGGTGCATCTGAGCTTATAGCTTGTGTAGTAGAAACTTTGCAAGTCAGAATTATACCTTTTGTTGCATTATTGATTGTCCCTTTATTAGGTGAACATTTATCTTTTATTTTATATATTTATCTAGCTTCATTATTTAGTTATTTACTTTATCTTTATTATCAGGACGTATGAGTGATCATGACCAGAGTGTACGTTTGATGAGCACTCATAGTTTTGCTCATTTAATACAATTATTCCCATTGGAAGGTAGAAATATTAATGATCTACCAGGAGCATCACAAAAATTAAATTATAAGTGTAAACAACATAGAGAATTTCTAGAACATCTCTTTCAACCTAAGGACATACCGGAATATAAAGTACCGGTTACAGTAAAGGCAGAACTCAGAAGTTATCAGCAGGTAATGATAAATTATTAACTTCTCGTAGGGCAAGTTATAGTAATCGCAAAAAAATCGAAAATGAAAATTTTTATATATCTTTACGTTTCAAAGGTTTTTGAATATTTTGGCATACCTTAGAAAAAATGGATGTAGGTGTGCATGTGTGTGTGTGTGTGTGCATGTATGTATGTGTGTTGAATAATCCGATTTGAATAATTCAAAAACATTCGATTCGTATTGATAAGGAGACGTGCTGATTAGTTTTTGGCGAAGGCAGGTCTAGCCGTTCCGAAGATATGGGGCAAAAAGTGCCAAAAACGGTACCTCAGTTTTTAAGAGAACGGAGCATCTGATTTTAATAATTCAAAAAACATTTTACTTGTATTGACAAGATAAATAATTGATCAAATTTTCATAAGGGCAGGTCTAGCGGTTTCGGAGATCTAACGAAAAAAGTAAAAAAAAGTGCCGTTTGGCGGTCAAAAATGATCATTAGACATATGCACATCAAATTATCAGATATTTTATAGAGATTTTAACAATAAGTATAAATTTTGTTTACATTCCTATGGGTTCCGTACCAATGTTTACCCGTTAGACAGCGACGCGGCGCTTACGCGCTTTATATTTTGTCTTTATGCAGTTAAAGCAGTACGATTGCTTTGAAAAACAGTTCAGATCTTCCAAAATATGTCAAAATAAAGAAAACTTTTTTTCAAAAAAAAAAATTAAAAAAATAATTTAAAATTTTTTTTTTTCAAAACAAGTAATTTTTTGTCCAATTTATAGTTTCTCAAAAATCTTATTTTTTCGAAGTAAAATATTTTCAAAAATGTTAATCGTTTTTAAAAAAATAATAATTTTTGGTACGGGAAGTTCCAGCAATTTGCCTTAAGGCACGATGCCCTAATTGCCTTAAGACAGAATTCCACTTACATCTAGTTTTTTTCTTGTATTTATGTATTTTCTATCAGTGAAGTATACATGAAATTATAGCAAGAGGAACTGTAGGATTTAATATATTAGTTTATGTTGTATTTTTCAGGCTGGTGTAAACTGGTTAGCCTTTTTGAATAAATATCGTTTGCATGGAATTCTTTGCGACGATATGGGTCTTGGTAAAACTTTGCAGTCAATTTGTATGCTTGCTGGTGATAATTATGCTAGGGAGCAAATGTATAAAGAAACCGGTGCTCCAGACTGTTCTCCATTACCAAATTTAGTAATATGTCCACCAACTTTGACCGGTAAGCATTTTATTTATATTTGTCCACTGTGATCAATAATAATAAATATTTTTTTATGATAATGGATGATTTATTTTTTTAGGTCATTGGGTTTACGAAGTGAAGAAATTTCTGCCATCAAATTGTTTGAGACCATTGCAATATGCTGGTCCACCAGTAGAAAGAGAAGCACTTCGGCCGAGATTTAAACATTACAACTTAATTGTGGCATCCTACGATATTGTTCGAAAGGATATTAATTTTTTCAGCAGTATCAAGTGGAATTATTGTATATTAGATGAAGGTCATATAATAAAAAATGGTAAAACAAAGGCATCTAAAGCAGTGAAACAACTAGTTGCTAATCACAGGTAATTATATTCAACTATGTTTTTCTCAAAAAGAAAGGTAATTATTCTAATATTCTCTAGACTTATATTATCCGGAACACCAATCCAAAACAATGTGTTGGAATTGTGGTCATTGTTTGACTTTCTGATGCCTGGTTTCTTGGGTACTGAAAAACAATTTAATGCAAAATACAGTCGACCTATACTGGCATCTAGGGATCCCAAAAGTTCTTCGAAAGAGCAAGAAGCAGGAGCTTTGGCAATGGAAGCTTTACATAGGCAGGTGCTACCATTTTTACTGAGAAGAATGAAACAAGATGTGCTGGAAGATCTCCCACCGAAAATAACTCAGGATTATTATTGTGATCTCAGTCCTTTGCAAGAACTTCTTTATGAAGATTTTGCTAAATCACATTTGGCTCACAGCCTCCATGATAATATGGATAGTAATGCTGCAGGAGATTCACCTCATGTGTTCCAAGCGTTGAGGTTTGTAAGACGCATTTCAAAAACATTTGACTTGTATTGATTTTGACCCTTTTTTCTTTTAACAGATATTTACAAAATGTTTGCAATCATCCAAAGTTAGTGTTAGTACCAGGACATCCACAATTTGAGAAAGTCATGAAAGATTTGTCTACACAGAAAAGTTCATTGGATGATATTAATCATTCAGCAAAACTTCCTGCTCTGAAGTATGATATTCAAAGATTAGAATATTTAGATTAGATTAGAGATTAAAATATTTTGAATTAACTGCAGAATTTACTGAGGTTTTAACTTTTCATTCCTTCTCTAGGCAATTATTGTTGGATTGTGGAATCGGACACTCATTAACAAGTCCAATTATGGAGAGTTGTGTAAACCAACACAGAGCATTAGTATTCTGCCAACTAAAAGCTGTATTAGATATAATAGAGAAGGATTTATTTAAAACACATATGCCAGAACTTACATATTTAAGGTAAATTTAATTGAATTTATGCAAAAATAATTGAATTTATTAATAAAATTATACTTATTTATTTTAGATTGGACGGCAGCATTGCACCATCACAACGACACGAAGTAGTTACCAGGTTCAATAATGATCCATCTATTGATGTATTGTTATTAACAACACAGGTGAATAACTATTTTTTAGATTATTCATTAAATTATATTTGAACTAGCTGTAAGTGGAATTCTGTCTTAAGGCAATTAGGGCATCGTGCCTTAAGGCAAATTGCTGGAACTTCCCGTACCAAAAATTATTATTTTTTTAAAAACGATTAACATTTTTGAAAATATTTTACTTCGAAAAAATAAGATTTTTGAGAAACTATAAATTGGACAAAAAATTACTTGTTTTGAAAAAAAAAAATTTTAAATTATTTTTTTAATTTTTTTTTTTGAAAAAAAGTTTTCTTTATTTTGACATATTTTGGAAGATCTGAACTGTTTTTCAAAGCAATCGTACTGCTTTAACTGCATAAAAACAAAATATAAAGCGCGTAAGCGCCGCGTCGCTGTCTAACGGGTAAACATTGGTACGGAACCCATAGGAATGTAAACAAAATGTATACTTATTGTTAAAATCTCTATAAAATGTCTGATAATTTGATGTGCATATGTCTAATGATCATTTTTGACCGCCAAATGACTCATTTTTTTACTTTTTCCTCTATATCTCCGAAACCGCTGGACCTACCTTCATGAAAGTTGTATCGATTCTTCATCTTGTCAATACAAATAAAATGTTTTTTGAATTATTCAAATCGGACGCTCCGTTCTCTTAAAAACTGAGTTACCGTTTTCGGCACTTTTTGCCCCGTATCTTCGGAACGGCTAGACCTGCCTTCGCCAAAAACTAATCAGCACGTCTCCTTATCAATACGAATCGAATGCTTTTTGAATTATTCAAATCGGTTGATCCGTGTTCCCGAAATCGTCGACGAAAATTTGTATCCGCACATACATACACACACGTACATACATACATACATACATACATACACACACACACACACACACACACACAAACATCCATTTTTTCTAAGGTATGCCAAAATGTTCAGAAACCTCTGAAACGTAAAGATATATGAAAATTTCCATTTTTGATTTTTTTGCGATTACTATAACTTGCCCTATGGGAAGTTAAAAAAAAAATCCATAGGAAGAAAATCTAAAATTCAAAAATATTAATAAAAAAATTGTCAGAAATAATATACAACTTGCCTTAGGGTACTTACACCTAGTTTTTTTTCTCTTTAATATAGGTTGGAGGTCTTGGCTTGAATCTTACTGGTGCCGACACAGTAATATTTGTAGAGCATGATTGGAATCCTATGAGAGACCTTCAAGCCATGGATCGAGCACATAGAATTGGACAAAAAAAAGTTGTAAATGTTTATCGGCTTATAACAAGAGCTACTTTAGAAGAAAGGATTATGGGGTATGTAATTTATCATCTTTTTCATTAAAATGAATGGTGGTACAAAGTAAATATATTATAATTTTGATCATTTTTTAGATTGCAAAAATTCAAGCTGCTCACAGCAAATACAGTGATAAGTGGAGAAAATGCTTCAATGGAATCGATGGGAACTGATCAGATACTTGATTTGTTCTCATTGTCTACAAAAAAATCAAATAGCATCGATGGAAATGAGGATTTGATATCAAAAGATGGACGCACATTAACTGCAAAGTCTGTACTCAAGGCATTGCCAGATTTATGGCAAGAAAAAGAGTATACTGAGGAGTATGACTTGACACAATACGTAAACAGTCTTAATAGAAAATAGTTACAGATAATAGTAGTAGAAAAAATCAAAGTCAATATGACCTAAAAGCAATTTGAAACGTCAATTGAAATTGTATTTGCCCAATATTTAGGATGAATACTTTGTTTCATAATAATTAGAACTATAGCTATATACGAACAAAATGTATTGTATATTGATGAACATATTTGTTACACCATATTTAAATTATATAAGTCTCTTGCAAAATGTAATTTGTTTTTGTAATTTGCATTTTATCTAAAAATTTCAGAAATTAAATGAAATTTAAATTTAAATCTTATTTTGTATTCCAAATATAATATTATCAAATGTGAGTATTAAGAAATGTTTGTTAAAGAACACTGCTTTGTATATTGTGAAATGTAGGTTTATTTTACATTAGTAAACAAATATGATAGTGTATATTTTATAAACTTAAGTTTGAAATAAATGCCATTAATTAATGTTGATGACTTGTCTAATAGTTATAATAAATTTAGCAAATTCATACAGTATCCTAGAACTGAAAGTACCTTAAAATGTCAATTGATTCTAGATAATTAGTAAAGTAAGTAATTGCATTCATCAACTCTTTTGTGCATTAATAGATTTATTAACTTATTTTAGGGTAGTTATAGTCTATGGTTATAGTAATGGGCCGAATATCGAAAATGAAAATTTTTGCATATCTTCACATTTTGAAGGTTTCTGAACATTTTGGCATACCTCAGAAAAAATGGATGTGTCTATGTATGTGTGTTTTGTACGTCCGCATTCCTATTGATAGGGAGATGTGCTAATTAGTTTTTGGCAAAGGCAGATCCAGCCGTTACAAAGATACGGAGCAAATAGTGTAGAAAATAGAAATCGAGTTTTTGAGAGAACGGAGTATCCGATTTGATTGATCTAAAAAATATTCAATTTGTCATGATTGGGAGAAAAGGTGATTAATTTTTGGCAAAGGCAAGTCCATTTCCAAGATACAGAGCTAAATGTGCAAAAAATGGCAGTTTTTGAGAGAACTAAGCGTCCGATTTGAATGATTCAGAAAACTTTCTGCTTGTTTTAACAAAATATATGCTTTTAAAATAATTCAGATTTTAATTTCAATTCTGACTAAAGTTCTAATATACTTTAAACAAATAATTTCGACTTTGCAATTCAATTTATACAATTCTTATAAATATTAGACAATGTTATAACATTTATAATAATCTATATGAAAACATTTAATATTGTTCAAACATTTCGTTACGGTACGGAAATTACCGAAAGTTCCATATTTGCCTAGAGGCACGATGCCATACACCACTAGTTTTTTTAAATCTTTTAACCGTTTATTTGATAAAAACAAAATATTTGGTGCATGCAACAACTGCAATAAGATTTGCAATTGTGAATGGAATCAAATTGCAATTCAAATTTTAAAGCAAGTAGTTTGAATTAAATTCAAATTAAATGTTGAGGGCGAATATAAGTGTATTTTACAAAGTTTAAATTTAAAGTTTGAATTTCGCGCTCTAAATAATACTAATGACGACAAATATTTTGCCACATGTTGACAGCTTCAAATTGTTCAATTGTCAAACAGATTTTCGTGGATTAACATGCGGTCGGGTTAATTAACGTTTTTTTTAATTAAATCCTTGATTAGTTTTAATTAATTTATGCATCAAACCGTGTAATTAATTCAGTAGATCATTTTGATATAATAAATTTATCGTGAAACGTTAATTAAAAGCCGAAAAAATGGATATGTGTGGAGGTGCCTTGAATAGTTTGATAAGTGTCTCTTTCAGGGTCTCCATTTTGAATCAATTTTATATATAAACAATTCATTTACAGCGCCAATGTATCCTTTAATTATATACGTGCAATTATCAATAGTATAATTTATATATGTGCTTTTGTAGGTTATTAATTCATTTACAGCGCCAGTGTATCCTTTATTTATATATATGCAATTGTAAAGTGTATAATTTATATATATATGCTTTTGTAGCTTATATTTGAGTACCTCCAACACATATCTCTTTATATCGAATTCTAAATTCACGAAAGTCTCTAATGTAAGTCGTGTGTCGTGTATTGTGTAAAGACTTTACTCGGACAATTGCAACAGGTCGAATAGACTTGTAAAAGACTAAAGTTATGTAGTGGTTCTAAAGTAGTGATTTTGTATCGAGTACTTGAGATTTCTGGCGGATGCTCTAGAGGTGGTGTATTGGATTTGTGTTCTGGGAGCTGCTGTAGAGGATATCGAACAATGTAAGTGCAAAGCATGTTTTATACAAAGCGAGTCAAAGGATATATTTCTGGAATTATATACAGGCATTTATCGTACCATATCTGTTGTGCCTATAGTGTTTTAAATATTCAATATTTAACTTATGTATATATATATATATATATATATATATATATATGTGTGTGTGTGTGTGTGTATATATAAATGCATTAGGTTTTTCTGAGTTTTGAATTTAAAGCAGTCAAATAATTTTGAAAATCTTTATTTCGATACATTATTGTTTGTCATCTCCAATAAAACTATGATTTGAATAGAAATAAATAAAAAGAGAACAGAGTTTACAATTATTGACCGACTTTGTATTATATGCTACTTTTATGCTTGTAATAATAACACTTTTTATTAAATATGTATTTAATGCTTGTTTTTCATATTAAATGAAATGAATAAATGAAAATTGATTGGAAGATTTTTTGAGAACTTGTCCCTTTGTTATCCGATATCATTTATAAGGCAGCCTGTATATATTTTAGTGGAATATTTTCTGGCTCGTGCATTATTAATATAGTTGTATACATATATCTGCTGAAAATATTGTTTATATTATAATAATTGAGTCAATATCATTTTTTCAATAGGGTGTACTTTATTAATTTTTAATATAATACATAAAATACATTTTTTTTTTTGTTAATTCATCAACAACTATTATGCTAACGAAAGATTTTAAAATAATTTGGCAGACATGTGTGTAAAAGATGTTGTTCTTATTTAATTTGCTATGGGGAAAACATGTTGATTCAGTTTTTTTTATTTATTTATACAAGTGCCTTTTATGAATTCTTTTATTCTATAAATAACACTATTTTGTGTAGATTTCAGAATTCTTATACATTAAATTTTTGTTGCTAAATGATCAGTTAACCAATACAGCTTTTTGTATGTTTCGATTACTTATTTGTTGAAGGGGCCCTAGCACCTTACCTTAAGTAACTCCTAAATTGATGGTATTTTGTTACAAATTACAAGTCACAAATTTACTTTGTTACAAAAATCTCTTTTTTATTACACCCCTTGTTCATTATTATACAGAAAAAATATTTGTATTTGTATTTGACATTTCCGGTATCAAGAATCATGTGTTTTTCCCAAGCGATATTGACTGCATGAATATTCTTATTTATGGATAACACGATTGTGTGGTTTTGATCAAATTCTTTCAAATATCTAATTGAATTGACTTACCAAATTGTTAATTAGATGCAGCTTTAAAAGTCTTTTACTGTAGTTTTATTTTAAATTTATTCAATTATATCGCTGCATAGCTAAATGATAGATTTTTATTCTTTTATTGCTAAAAACAATTTTGATCAAGACATACAATCAAAGTTTCAAAGAGTTGACTTGAATGATTAGACAAAGTTTAATTTTGTTTACAAGTTTATTATTCGATTCAAGTTGTAAAAATTATTTAACTCAATTTCTAAATGATAACAATCAGCTTTATAACTGTTTTGAAGTTTTTAATGTTCAAGTTTTTGAACATTTTTTATTATTTTATTTTACAAGTTTTATTAATTTTTTTTTTTTTGGCTTTTTCCAATAATTTGTATATTATTCAAGTCAGCTATATTTGTTTTTTTGTCTCGATTAATTGTAAAGGTTTCACATGTTTTATCAAGTCGTATAAACAATTTTGATTCGATTAATATCATTTCATTTCATTTCATCGATTAATTAAATAATTCTCTCGAATAATTTTTTTTTCTAAGTCCAAATTTTCTGATTATAATTTTTTCGAATAATTTTTTTTTTTTTTAAGTCCAAATTTTCTGATTATAATTTTTTCGAATAATTTTTTTTTTTTTTAAGTCCAAATTTTCTGATTATAATTTTTTCGAATAATTTTTTTTTTAAGTCCAAATTTTCTGATTTTAATTCTTTCGGTTATTTTTTTTTTCTAAGTCTTTTCAGTTATTTTTTTTTTCTAAGTCCAAATTTTCTGAAACCTTTTCAATTAAGACAGACGAGTTATTTATGCATGCTGTATTATCCCAAAGCCAACATTCGAATGAATGAGGCTCACATTGAATATTTCACAACGAGAAAATTTTATTGGGGCAAAGTTAAATATTTTAACTAAGTCCCAGTAATTTTTTCTCGTTGTGAAAATTTCAACGTGGACCTCATTTCATTCGAGTGTTGGTTTTGGGAATTGGTGTGAGGGAACACTAAAAAACATAAAAAAGTTTCAACGCTGAACAGAAAAGAGAAAAATTGACCTGGGACTTAGGGGGTTTTTTTTAGGCTCTCCACCTCCCCCTTCCTCCTCCTCCTCCTCCTCTCACCCTTTTTTTTTTTTCCCTTTTTTCCGCTTTTTTTCACATTTTTTCCTTTTTTGGTGTTTTTTTTCGCATGTTGTGGTTTTTGGGTAGATTTTTGGGTTCGGCATGCATCTTCCGCAATGTGTCTCTCTGCGTGTAACCTCTCGCATCATGGACCTCAGGTTGACCATCACTTGGTGTGTTCGTTTCAGGACCCTTTGCGCTCGCCAACAGCCAGCCACCAGCACTGCTCCATTTTTTCTGCTTCCGAGTTGGTCGTCGTCGCCTTCAGCCGGATTCGATCCGTCTCACCTTGTGCCTGCCTCCAGAGCGATTTCACCGAGTATGCGGTCACTTAAACCGCTCGGCTATTTAAGTTATTGATGATAAAAGTTATTTTTATTCCTATATTGTATTAATATTGAATTTTAATAAAGAATATGTATCATACACATCTCTCTTATTCATCATCTGCCTCTACCCCTCTCTTTCCCCAGTTCTTCCTCTACTTTTTTTTTTTTTTTTTTTTTTTATGTATCTCTCTTACAGTCAAGTGCGAACCTTGAATTTTTCAGAAATATTCTAAGTGTCAAGGTCGAAATGCGACACCTGAATTTAATA